AAACAAGAGTCAAGTAGGACCAAACAAGAGTCAAGTAGGACCAAACAAAAAGTAGGAGTCAAGTAGGACCAAACAAGAGTCAAGTCCCCAAACAAGAGTCAAGTAGGACCAAACAAAGAGTCAAGTAGAGGACCAAACAAAGAGGTCAGGTAGGACCAAACCACAGAGTCAAGTAGGACCAAACAAGAGTCAAGTAGTCAAGTAGGACCAAACAAGAGTCCAGTCAAGTAGGACCAAACAAGAGTCAAGTAGGACCAAACAAAGTCAAGTAAGGACCAAACAAGAGTCAAGTAGGACCAAACAAAAAGTCAAGTAGGACCAAACAAGAGTCAAGTAGGACCAAACAAGAGTCAAAGTGGGACCAAACAAGAGTCAAGTAGAGGACCAAACAAAGAGTCAAGTAGGACCAAACAAGAGTCAAGAAAGGACCAAACAAGAGTCAAGTAGGACCAAACAAGGAGTCAGACAGGACCAAACCAAAAGAGTCAAGTAGGACCAAACAAGAGAGAGTAGGACCAAACAAGAGTCAGACAGGACCAAACCAAAAGAGTCAAGTAGGACCAAACAAGAGTCCAAGTAGGACCAAACAAAGAGTCAAGTAGGACCAAACAAGGAGTCAGTAGGACCAAACAAGAGTCAAGTAGGACCAAACAAGAGTCAAGTAGGACCAAACAAGAGTCAAGTAGGACCAAACAAGAGTCAAGTAGGACCAAACAAGAGTCAAGTAGGACCAAACAAGAGTCAAGTAGGACCAAACAAGAGTCAAGTAGGACCAAACAAGAGTCAAGTAGGACCAAACAAGAGTCAAGTAGGACCAAACAAGACAAAAGTTTAACCCAAAGTGTCCTCATACAGTTCAATTAATCGTGGTGGAATTTGACACACACAAAAAAATTTACACCTGCGACAGACAACACACAAAAAAAGGCCAAATGATTTTAAATTTGTTTTATTTTTTGTTGATTTGTTAAAGGTCAGAGGTCACGGCTTGTCGTAAAATTGGATAGGTCGGGGGGAAAGAGGGGGTTGGTTGTTAGTAGATGGTAGAGGGGGGGGAGTGGAATTCGTCTGTTATTGGTTGGGAAGGGGGGAGATGGGGGGGGGTGTTAGAGAATGGAATAGAGAGGGGGTCATCTGTTATTGATTGGGAGAGGGGAGAGGGATTCATCTGTTAGAGGAATGGAGAGGGGAGAGGGAGGAGGGGGATTCGATTGTTATTCTATTATAAATTTAACAGATCCAGACAACAACTGTACACAAACACTCCATCTTTTTTGTGTGTTCTTTTTTCTCTATCGTAAAAAAAAGTGACTGTCTCCCACCTCCCGTCCCTTCCCGCCCCGTCCCTGTGTCTTCTGATGGTGCGAGAGAGAGAGAGAGAGAGAGAGAGAGAGAGAGAGAGAGAGAGAGAGAGAGACTACAAAATCCTCACCCTCATGATAACTTTGTAGTCGAGACCACAATCATCTAACTATCCCTCTTTAAACTGTGCTGTAACTGTGTAGTTATCAGGACGCCACCATGTACTGGTGTCTCCGTGACTGTAGCTTGGATTTATAAATAGCTGGGGACGCCCTTGAACTGTGGAGAAGAGTACCATCACTATTTACTTATGATGTATTACTGTGCTTCTATAACTAAGATCTTGAAGTACTTATTCTAGATGGCGTTGTGGTCTCCTTACAATAATTGGTCATTTTTAACTCACATTTACTTAATCTTCACTACAACCACATGATTATTTTCACATTAAACACACTGACAAGATGTTTACTGAACAAGTTATCATAAACACCAATTGTTCTCCTTTGAAGATGATTTGACGAGACTGGTTGAAATTATAACCATTACTGAGTCACCTGGGTAAACCTGTGCCTCTGATTTACATGAGTCTGTGTTACTTGCTTCTGATTGTTGGATAAATATTGAGCTCCTATATGGATGTTCTCTTGTATAAACTTATCAGGTTGTGGATCACCAAGACGTTGCATTCCTAGTTGATGTAATTTTCAAGTATACATATCAATCAACTTTCATACAGATGTAATTGTGTATTTGTAATGTATAAATAGTATATACTAATCTGATTACAAGGTCATAGTAGAGTTGTTAAGTGTGGAGAAATGACCGAGATGACCGTGTATAATACTGTATTTAATTACGGGTTGCGTTGACCGCGTAATGGCATTAACTCCAGCTCACGTAACGGGGCTGTTTAAAACGCCTCACGTGTGTCTAATACTTTACAATTATCTGATACGAATCTCACTCATTCATTATCTATTGATTACGTCTCGTGTTGTGGTAATGAGTCTGCCTCCAGCGTCAATTGAACCGGGAGATATTTTGTCCGGCCAGAGACAATTATTCTGCCCCATTACCCAGCCGCGGAGACGACGCCTGGGAGTTAATGGTGCTAGCCTGGGAGACGACGCCTGGGAGTTAATGGTGCTAGCCTGGGAGACGACGCCTGGGAGTTAATGGTGCTAGCCTGGGAGACGACGCCTGGGAGTTAATGGTGCTGACGTGGGAGACGACGCCTGGGAGATAATGGTGCTGACCTGGGAGTTAATGGTGCTAGCCTGGGAGACGACGCCTGGGAGTTAATGGTGCTAGCCTGGGAGACGCTAAATAGGAGATAAGAGTGCTGTACAGGTAGAATAAAGGTAAACTGTACAGGTAAACTATAGGTAAACTGTGCAAGTAAACTATAGGTAAATTGTACAGGTAGACTATAGGTAAAATTTGCAGGTTGAATTATGGATAAACTTCATATGTATACTATAGGTAACTGATTGTACAGGTAAGACTTTACAGGTGAGCTACAGGTATCTCGTATGAAGACAATGGCTCCTTACCTGGCAGGAATACCAGGGATCTTGCGGTTTAAACCCTCCCAGAACTCACTTTTTGTTACCATTGTAATATACTTATGGTGTTAAGTGCAGTATATCAAACATACCCAAGTGTATACGCTCATATGTTTGATATATTTTATTTTCTAGAAGCATACATTTGTTGTCGATATAAACTGTAGTATAGTCAATAATATTCAGGTGTAAGAGGAGTATACAGTTATATTTTAGATATACTGAGGGAATATTGTCGTGCATTAAGAGGTATGTTAGTGTATATTGTAAGTATTGATAATGATACAGTTTATTTAGCCAGAAGAACACAGATACAGAGTGGATAAAAAACCTATTATTAACATGGCTGAGCCAGTTGAGAGTCTGAGCTGTCTTGTAGGCACCTGATATATACTGTACATTTATCTCAAGGAAGTATTATGTAACATTTAGTATCATCTGGAATAGTACAATAGCATGGTGGTAATAAGAACATCTCATAATGTTACCACGGTTATCACTTCGATATATATATAATTTGTTTTACATTATATTATAAGTATATACATACTTTACAGTGGAGTTGATATTCATAACTATGGTAAGGGAGGGAAGCAGTACAACACGGGTTGTATTAAGGTGGAACAAGAGGACAGAGCTGTCAGGATTATGTCTAGTTGGCAAATATATTTATTACAATGGTAATTTCTATCTGTCTACATGATAATTTCCGATAATACGGTTTTGGTGGTACAATAAAAGCAGGAATATAAAGTAGGTATATGAAGAGTATACTGCTGTGTGGTGTACCAGGAGTAATTTAGGGAGTTTACGTGTCTACCAAATATACTCAACTATAATTGACATGCAGTAGCAGTACCGAGGAGTATTTGCCGGTATATTATGTCAGAAAACGAGGTCTTTACTGGGGTACACTTAACTAATTGAGTCTTGAGGCTTGTAGTGGCGGCGTGGGTGGGTGGGCGGCGTGGGTGGGCGTAAGCAGCGGGGTATGGGCGGCTCCCTGGTGTTATACTTGTCCCTCTACTTAACTCCCTCCTTCCCACCCACCTTTCCTCCCTCCCCTCCCTCCCTCCACCCCAGGTTAGCTAATAGCTAGGTAATGAGTGTTGGCTACCCCTCCCCCCCCCCTCCTCCCCCCTCTCGCCCTTATGGCTTTTGTAAACACTGGCCACTCCTCCCTCTCTCTTTTAGCTTCTCATTGGCCACACCACAATCTCTCTGTCTCCTCTCTTTTTGGCTGTCTTTCGCTTGGCCACTTGTCTCCTCTCCCTGGCCATACTTCTATATCTCCTTTTTGTGGCCATCTTTTGCTTATCCGTCTCTCTCCTTTCTCCTTGGCCTAGTTTCATCACCATGGCCACTTCTTTACCCAGTGACCACACCTCAATCCCCTTGGCCACTTCTCATCACATGGCACTTCTATACTTAGTGGTCACTCTCAATCCCCTTAGCTACCCTTCGTCCCTTTGGCCATCCTACATCCCCCTTGGCCATCCCTCAATTCCCTATGGCCAGACTCACCCAGCATCACCCGAGTCCATTCTACCCTCCCTCCCCCTGAATACCCCAGACCGACCCGCATTTATGGACCTGAGAGGGAGGTAGGGAATGCAGCGAGGGAGGGAAGGAGTGAGAAAGGGAAGGAAAAGAGGGAGTGAGGAGAGAGGGAGGTGAGGGATGCAAGGAGGGAGGAAAGGAATCAGGAGTGAGGGAGGGATGCAGGGAAGGAAGGCACCTCCACCTACCTGGCTGACTCACCATCTCCTCCCTCACGCGCCAGGAAAATGACTCATTTTCGTAAATAAAAGTGACGGTGTAGTTTAGTGACAGGTAAAACACAGGTGAGCTTTATTATTTAATTATTCCCCGCTTAACGAAGTTGTTGAGGCAGGAACTACTGAAGAGAATAACACGGGTGTTTTTATCTCGTGTTATTCCATCCATTAATAAATACAATGATTCTGTGTATTATTCTGTGTTAATACAATGTTCAATGTCTTTATTTAGTAATACGATGTCTTGTTTGCCTAACTATTAATACAATGTTTTATGTATATATTAGTGTATGAATACAAATTGTGTAAGTGTATATAGATGTATTAATACAATGTCTCTTTCTGTGGACAGGTTGGAGGCCACGTTACCAGCGCCCAACACCAACACCCTCAACAACCATGAGGCCAAGAGAGGGGTGAGTATAGTGGCTGGCTCCCTCAGTAAGGTGTACAAGCCTAATGGAATAACCCAGGATGACCGGACAATTCGACAACTTCACTGGCTTAACCATTACCCCAGAACACGTTCCATTTATCGATTAATATCTTTATTCCCAATTACTGCTGGTTAGACAGAGACAAATGACGTAAAGAAACTTGCATATAATTTCACTGTGTCTGTCTGTCTGTCTCTCTGTCTGTCTGTCTGTCTGTCTCTCTGTCTGTCTTTCTAGTGGTCACCGGGTACCAGTACTAATGGTCCATATTTGTAATGGACCCTAGTTCTGATAGTCCCTTATACTAATAGGTCCCACTTGTAATCGGTCCCAATTTTAATAAGCATCAGTTATAATGGGTCATAATATTAATAAGTCCCAGGGACCTTAATAGACCCGTTATAATAGACCAAATTAACCTAACCAACTGACTAGAGCGGACCTAATTCTAATGGGTCCCAATTACGTAGGACCACAATCCAATGGTCTGGTGACGGTAAATTGGGATGTGAGGTAATAGGATTATGGCCTTTTTGACCAACCAATTACCCAGGCCAAGAAGGGAGGGAGGGAGGGAGGGATACACCTGTTGTCATCCCATGGCCGACTCCCTCCCTCCCTCCCTCCCCTAGCCTTCATCCCTCCCTCCATTCCTACCTTCCCTCCCTTCTTACCTTCCTTTCCTAGCCTTCATCTCTCCCTCCCTCCCACCAGGTAACAACAGGTAAGTGACATACACAATCCTTCATCAGCATCGTTGTTGACTTCACCTGAATAATTGTGTCCTGTTGAGTGTGTCGCTTTGTTCGCTCGCCTCCCACAACACTCTGCTCTTGTAGATCAAATGGGCCCCACTTCCACGAGGCCAGAACCGAATGTAACTATTAGAATCGGGAGGCCCATTAAACCAGAGAACCATTTAAGACTGGAACTCATTAGAACTTGACTCCAATGTTAATGGTTGAGTCAGGTCGTATCCGGAATGACAATACAGTATTAACCTCATCTCTGAAATCACCGACATGGTTAAAAGGTCAATGTATAGATTTATCACACAATTATTTTTCAACTTCTCTCGTATTTATTCATTATTTATTTCCTATTTATATTTATCGAGTTACCTATTTACCTATTCGTATGTATTCATTATCTTATTTTTTTTTCTGTATGATTCGTAGTAATTGTAATTGTTTCACCTGGTGACGATTGACAGTGTGATTACAGGTAGTGAGCAGGTGAGGGGAGTGAGCCGGGACGTTCTCGTGAGAAGGGGGAGGCGTTCAGTAACTATCCCCAGCGTTTAGTAGTGAACGCGGAGGTCTAGGGCGTTCTCAGGGAAAGGTAGGGGGGGGGGAGGTGGGGTGGGACGGAGTTCAGTAACCTTTCCCAGCTTACAATAATGAACGCCGGGTTGCAAGATACGGTGACACAGATGCGAGATAATAAGTGTTGTTGTAATGCGGATGCTTCACGCTTGACGATTGCAACGCCAACGCTACCTGCATGGAGTAATCTGAAATACTATGTAGAAGGATTAAGCTGAGATGTCTTGTGCTAGGATTAACCTGAGTTGTGTTATGCTAGGATGATAGGAGCCTGCATGACACCTTGGCGATTCTGCATGACACCTTGGCGAGCCTGCATGACGCCTCGCGAGCTTGTAGTTGTTATCGTGTGTTGGAGGAGCGTGACTCACAAAAAATCATCTAGGTTTACGTCTTTCATCCCTTTCAAGATTTATTTTTCTTCATTTTTTTATGTGTGGGATCTACCCTATTGTGTTTGGTCTGGGTAATTGTTAGTCCTAAGGCCCTCAGTCTAATGGGGGTAATCGGGGTGACTTATTTCTGGAATATAATCTTAGTCGCTCTGTTTCACCTTTTTCTCGGGATGTTAAAGCCTTTCTGGAGGTGAGGTTTCCATGCCGGATGAGAGCGCACGAGAGCTTTAGTTATTTGTTTAGTTATTTTATGGTATTTCGAGACACGTGTTAAATAATTTCCTACATCCAAGTTGGCTTTTTTCACTGGTGTTCTCGCTTGTTACACCGCACCTCAGTGATCGGTCTGTCACGGCACTTATCAACAGTATCCAGGGAAGTGTCATTAAGACCATAGTTGTGTGATTAGGGTTGGTGTAGCTTACGTGTAGAGTCTTATATTTTGTAGTCGTAAAAAAAAGCATTTTAACAGCTCGTGCAGATCATTGGTTGTTAAAATTAAATATCTCCGCTATATACATTAAAGAAACGTTGATTTTTACCTACATGTGTATAGTATAAAATGTATACATATAAACGACTACATCTTTAGAGTAATGTATATATAAAAATGCTAACAGGTGTGTGGTCGTAATAATGCTAACAGGTGTGTGGTCGTAATAATGCTAACAGGTGTGTGGTCGTAATAATGCAAACAGGTGTGCACAAAGTAAACACGGTAGTTAACAAGTGTGGGTCTACCTCTCTTCAGACACGAGATATTCAAGACACAAACATGTTCCACTCGTGTAGGTTGGACTTAGGGAAAACATGCCAAGTATAGACACTCTAAAAGCGAGAGTCCATAAATGCATTGTGTCCATGAAGTCCAAGAGTCCGGCCATATGTTGAGTAAGATCACCCAAGCGATACAACAATAAAGATTTAGTGATTAATATGAACTAAAGATGTTATACCTGTGTTATATTCACGACGCACCTGTGTAATCTGACTACAAAGAGACACACACCGACACCTGTGTGTTCAGTAAAGTGTTCACCTGAAGGTTTAGACACACTTACCTTATTTCACCTGATAATCAACCACACTAATGTTATCTTAACCTAACTTAACCCTTTCTTCTTTCTAATCCTTACTCCTCCTTCCTTCTTCTTTCTTCTTCTTCCTCCTGTCTTCTTTCTCCCCCTTCCTCCTTCCTTTCTTCTTCCTTCTTACTCCTTTCTTATTTCTACTCCTTCCTCCTTTCCTCTTCGTCCTCTTCCTCCTCCTCCTCCTCCTTCTCATTTCTTCCTTTAATCTTCTTCTTCCTTTATTCTTCCTCCTTCCTCCTCTGGCCATTAAATCCTTCCAATTGAATATCAAAGTCATTTAGGCTCCAGTTTTAATTAAGGCCGCCAGGGGGAGTGTCATTAGAGTGTTGACGGTACACGCTATTCCCTCCCTCACCTCCCCCACCTCACCCTCTTCCCTCTCTCCCGCTCTTCATTCACCTTACACTCTTCCTTCCCCCTCTCCCTCTCTATTCCTTCATCTCACACTCTTCCCTCCCTCCCTCTCTCCCTCCTTCATCCCACCCTCTTCCCTCCCTCCCTCCTTCATCCCACCCTCTTCCCTCCCTCCCTCCTTCACCTTAAACGCCTCCTTAAGACTCCCTGAAAATCCTTCAATAATCCATATCTCAAAGGGTCAAATCTTAAATTTTGTTAAACTTACCCCAAGTATTATTTTAATGAGTCTTACTAATAATGCCTCAAGAAATCCTCCCTGACATCAGTATCTCAAATGTTCCTATGATAAGATTTTATTAATGTTCTCAAAACGGAACTTAAACATTTAATTATGACTTGTTAATATAATAACTCCCTCAAGAATCTCTCCCTGCATGTAGACTCTCTCTCTCTCTCTCTCTCTCTCTCTCTCTCTCTCTCATAAATGTCCTTAAGTTAAATTATAGTCAAACGTAATCAAATGAATGTTAAACGATTCCTTAAAAAGTCAATAATAATAATAATAATAATAATAATAATAATAATAATAATAATAATAATAATAATAATAATAATAATAATAATAATCCTCTTAAGCGTCTTGTCCTGGTTTCCGATTCTCATAGTTTCATAAAGTCAAAACAATTAAGTGAGAATAAAGTAAGTCTCCCTTACGCTAGTCTTCTGCACTGCGTCATAAACCAACACACTAGGCTTTGTTATTCACAGCCAGAATCCAAATTTGTTAGTTAAATTTGTCGCAAGTTAACCAAGCGGAACCCGACCAAGGCTACGCTAGTAATGCATTCAATTCCAGTATTAATTCCGCTCCATGTAATAGTTCAGGGTGGATTCTCAATGATTCTTAATGTTCTTTTTCTCTTACAAGATTCAAATTCGTACATTTTTATAAGAATTCGAACCCCAGATATCTTTTGAAGGGTTCGAATCCTTCTAGCTTGCCAAGTATTCGAGTCCGGGTACCTTAACGAGAGTATTATTCAGATTCTTAAACACTATTTTACACTCTCGAGACACCTGGCCAAGAATCCAACCCTAACCTAACCTAATCCCCCGCTAGGATATAAAATACGATACATGGTGGATATGAGGGTCAAGTTATATGGCGTATACAGTATTCTGATCTTCGTGTGTAGGATGTGGGTGACTGAGGCGTGTTGACTTCACCCTAGATGATAAACAAGCACATCTTGTTCTGATAGGAAAGTGGGTTCATTTGTTAGGCAGATTAAGGGTGTGAAAAAATAAACAAATGTTATACCTTCTACGTCAGTCACGGAATAAGTTAATGGGAAGACTTCTTTAGTTCTGACATGTAAACAGACACGAGACATGTAACTCTCTTCTTCACGTCACTCAAAGAATAGACTAATAGAAAGCTGTGGAGAAAATAATTAACTTTTAAGCGTATAAACCTTTTTTCCGCATCAGTCAACCAAGAAATTTGCATCAAAGAAAACGTTTCCGTCCAGTAAACACAGTCAGAGAAAACGACGATAAGCATCTGAATGGGGTGACTGTAATAGATATAGTGAACCACAGCCTGGCAGCGTCACTTTCCCTCACGAGCGAACCTCTTAAATCTCCTCGACAATGGTGCCTCCCGTTGGTGTGACACAAGTTGAGTAACACTGAGGCAACAAAAGAAGACATGAGTATAACCGCCCGGGAACAATTTGAGTAAATAATATTGCTTATCGAGTCCTCATGCTTCATCATCAATGGTAAAAGGTGAGTGTTTGAGTCTCACGTTACGACACACACTGCGCCATGTTTCCCAACAGGTAAACAGAAAAACTCAATTAGCAACGAGTTAAACATCTCACATGAGGTCTTAAAATAATGAAAGGGACCAGTCACTTGACTTGTGGGAATACCTGAAGGGGGAATCTGGTGAAATGGGTCTCAGTCTTAACAGGCACTAAACTAACCATACCAGTAAAATTGAGGCCAACTCCATATGGGCCCCAGACCTAAAGACCATTTATTCTAATGCGTCCCAACCCCAGTGGTTAGGTTAGGTCAGGGACCCATTTGTATTGCAACTCGGGGAGGGGGGGGGGGTCTTCCTGGCACCCACACCTTAATACCTTACCTGAATGAGTCGCTGTTCGTCGTGAGGTGATATCTGTGTGCCCCCTTACACCACCTCCACCTCCTCCTTACCTCCCTCCCCTTACCTCTCTCCCCTTACCTCCCCCCCTTACCTCACCCCCTGGTCTCTATTCTGTTTACATGTGTTGACTTAGTGTAGTGTTAACGGTCAACGGAAATAAAATCACAGGAAAAAAAGTTACATGACTTGTACACATTGACAACACAATATATATATGATGGCATTGCACGTAGGTTAGGTTAGGTTAGGTTAGGTTTTTTCCGTGCCTTTTTTGCTGTGACTTTTTTTCTTGTGACTTTTTTTCCTGGATTCATGTTAACACACCACCATCATGCCATCATCATCATCATCATCATCATCATCATATCTTCATCATTATCATCATCACACTGTTGGATGAAGGTCTTGCCGAATTTACATAATCTGTCTTTGCTCTTCCCTACCCAGCCAGTGCCTCAAGTCTTCGTAATAATAATAATAATAATAATAATAATAATAATAACTGGGTACAGACGCCATTTTAACAACGTTCCCAACTTGGCGTATTCTTCAACATGTAAATTGGCAACATTGTAAAATTCTGAAATTCTTTCAGATATGCTCAAAAGTTTTAAAAATTTTATTCTTTTCAAAGTTTTCTTATTATCCGCGAGGAACAACTTGTACATACAACTTGTGGCCGTCAGATATATTAGAATTTTACAACACTGCGATTTTTTGGAAGAAATTTTAATAAACCAAATTTTAGTCTAACAAAAAATTCATGCTTTTTTTATTTTTCATCTCTTTTATTTTTATTTTTATTTTTACGTATTTAAAATAGAAAAAAAATCAGATAAAACATACTGAGGTAACCGTCTTAGCACACACACACACACAGAGCCAGCTGCTAGCAGGTCTTAGTGAGATAAGCCGGTCGGGGTTGTGGTTGTGGTTGCGACAGGTGATAATAACAGGTGTGAAGACTCCTCACGGCGCAGATGGAGTGTGCAAGAGGTGAGGGCCAGGGTGAAGTGCTGCCTGGTGAGGGGGAGGGGGTGGGAGGAAGAGAGGAGAGTGGTAAGAGGGATGATCGATTGAGTGTGTTTGAGACAAGTGTGTTTCTGGGACGATTAGATGCGCCCTTCATCTATTGTGTTGTATCAGTAAGCTCTCTCTCTCTCTCTCTCTCTCTCTCTCTCTCTCTCTCATAGTAACAGGTGGGGGGAGTAGTTTGGAGAAAGCTTATAGAGGTCAAGAGTGGGAAGGGGTCAGCAGCTGGTGGGTTAGTCCAGGTCAACAGAGGTCAGGTCATGCTTACTGACCAATCAAGAGAAGGGGAGGAGAAAAAGAGAAAGGAAGGGAGTAAGGATGGAGAGAGGGAGGGATGAATGGAGAGAGAGAGAGAGGGAGGTAAGGATGGAGAGAGAGAGAGAGGTAAGGATGGAGAAAGGTTGAGATAGATGGAGAGAGAGGGAGATAAGGATGGAGAGAGAGGGAGGAAGAAGGGAGGTACAATAGGTATGCAACAGGGACTCGTGTTGTGGTTGTGTTAATGGCCTGTTTTGTGTGCCTTTACCTCTGTTATTGAAGCATTGATTGGCCCTTAAACCAACACAGATCCTTAACCTCATCTAAACTGGTCGTGTGTCAGGCCGAGGAACCTTAGTGTGATGTCCGTGTCTCCGTGAGTCAAGAGGTGTAAGACGCGATATACAGAGAACAAATTAAGCCTCGACACACCATCTATGTCTACGGACTAACTCAGGTGGCATATTTGGATTCGTTAACTAAATCACCGTTCCTGTTTCTATTCCCTGATGATGACTCGTTGGGTCTTGTATGTCTCCTCTTACGAACGTCTGTGATAATTTTTTTCCTTATTATGTGATGCTTTACTGATAAGAATCATTAATAACATCTACATCACTCGAAAGACTCAGTTATGTCATTATTGCTGTTATTTTCACTCTGTATCTGTATTTCTGTCTAAATAAACTGTTCCAATATCATCTGTGTCGTCTCCTTCGGCAGGGTGTCCGTCGACGGTCTGGAGGGTCGTGGGTGAAGACTCCTGGTGTGCGGCGGCCCCATGTGTCGGCCGTGACCCTGCAGGGGTGGCTCTACAAGCAGGGTGCTGACGGCCTTCACCTGTGGAAGAAACGCTGGTTCGTCCTCTCCGAGTACTGCCTCTACTACTACAAGGGTGAGTATTGCCTCTGTTACTGCTGCAAGAGTACTGTCTCTACTACTACAAGGATGAGTACTGCCACTATTACTGGCACGGGCTGCTATAGTAAGTACTGCCTCTAGTAAACCCGACTCTTTTAAAGAGAGAGAGAGAGAGAGAGAGAGAGAGAGAGAGTAAACATACATATACAGTATATATCATTTATTGGTGAGTTACAGGTTATGTATATAGAGTTTGTCAGAATAGGTTATTTTGTGTATATTTTTGTTTCAAAATATTCTTGTTATTTATTATCTTTGTACATCGTAACATTGTCTATTTCACTCAGAATTTATTTGACCGTATGCGTGTGTGTTGTAGGTTATATTTTAATGTAGTTTTAAGGCAGATTTTAATGTACTATTGTAATCAGATTTTGAGTGCAGTCGTAAGTCAGATTTTAATACAAATTATATGTGTCAGGTTAAAAAAACTAGACTTAACATAAAACAAAAATAATACTGCGCAGTTGTCCTTATATGATTTTTTTTTGTAAACATCAGGATCCGGTCTTAACGTTTTCTATAACTCAGCATGGAGGTAAGTGTTGCCAGATAGAGCGGGAAGGACAGTGAATGTGCGATACTGTCAACTCCTCCCCGCCAGGTCTGTTCATCGTGTTGGCTATACTGCTACTGCGTCCTCATTGGGTTATTATATCTGGTTATATTGTTGCTTTGTAAGGTTGAAAGTTTTTGTTTCTTTTTCTGTTTGTTGTTCAATTTTTTTTCAATTTCAATTGTTTATTCCTTGATAGAGGAAGCGGGATCCTAGTGCTGTCACTAGGAAGGAAGGATATTCCTTTAACACATAATCAATGTTATTTACATACTATCTGGCCAGTATGGGGAGGATCATCGTGTCTCCGTCAGGGGGTCGTGGTGTGTGTTGTGGTGGAGATGGTCTGGCAATACTGTGGTGTAAGTGAGGGTTTGGTGTTGTTATGGTGGTGGTGTTCTTTTACCTGTTTGCTTGTTTTGTGTTTGTCCTCTTCATCTTCATTATTTTTGTTCATTATTATCTTCTGTACCGTTACTATCTTTGTCATAATTATAGTCATCATTCTTATCATTATAATAATCTCAGGGACATAATTATTTTATTATTATTATTATTATTATTATTTTATTAAAGTTATTCCTCCACTTAATTATAAACTTATCGTTCACAAAGTAGCGAATTTAATCCAATAATTTCGTCGGTTATAATTATACGTGAGAACTCTCTAAATAACTATTCATAGCGTTAAAATTATCTCCTCATTTTTGGTAATGTTCCAATGTTGTTTTTTTAACGGTACTAATTCATTGTATGTATAGATATTAAATGTTTCAATATGAACTGTGGTATTTTATTTTATTTGTTTATTTTCTCAAATTGAATTATAAATACAGTAATCGAGTGGTATTTGATTGTGATATTTTTTAATATTTCCCACTGACGATAACTTTTGCAACCAGTTCCCCGCCGTAACAGTAAGGCGGGTGAAGGGAGTAGGCGTTTCTCTACAACATTCCTGGCTAAATGCGGCCCAGATGGCTGAATTACAGCAAAGGTTGACAGTTAATAAGTAAGTTTAATATGTTGTCCATAAAGGGAATAATTACTAGAGGGATGAGGTAGAAAAACTTCGATATTCCCACAAAGGTTGACTGTAGCGGTGACGCCCTCTTTTGTTCATCTATGGTGTCCCAACATACTAACTGACTCTGGCTTCGGGTTCAGTTACTTTTTTATATTGTACGAATTATACCTTGTGGAATCTTCATTAATATTGTAAAATGTTTTGTAGATTTTTGTATGAGAATGAATAAGTTGTTGGTAATACTAAGGATGTTTTCAAAGTGTGTTTCTTGGCATGCGTAAACGTAAACGTAATTGTATACTTTGTTTTTGTATTTACTATGACTGTGATTAATATAACGGTAATTATTTATAGTTGTGGGACGTGACGAAATGACGCAATTAGCAAAGTCCAGACCAAAAATTAACACTAAGACTTCAAACGAAAAACGACTAAATTTATCACACCGTCTTTCATAACGTCGGACGAGTGTATTTTAGCCCAATTTATTTCCTGTTGTTATGACCTGATTACTGTTATTATTACAATATACTATAATGACGTAATTATTGTCGGGGAAACCATATAATTTAATCCGAGTCAGAATACACTTAATCCTAATATTATATTTAATTTGTCTTGTTGTGAAATAATAATGTCAGCAAAGTTACGATTATTATATATTTGTTTGTCATAATTTCTGTATATTGAAATAATAAAAATATCATCACCGTCTTTATAAAGAATTATTATTATTATGATTATTATTATTATTATTATTATTATTATTATTGTTATTATTATTATTATTATTATTATTGTTATTATTATTATTATTATTATTATTATTATTATTATTATTATTATTATTTTTGTTATTATTATTATTATTATTATTATTATTATTGTTATTATTATTATTATTATTAATGTTGTTAGGTTTGTGTGTATAGTCTGGGTTGTGTATTACGAGTGTCACCTGCCTCGCTACACCCACCTGTGATCATCTTGTGTAGTCTACCATATACACCCACAACACTTTCTCACCTCATAGAAAACGTATTGGGGATTCTCATACGTTTTCTCTTTAAGATTGGAAATAATTTTGAAGGACATGAATGTAAAATTTATGTAGATATTAACTTCCCCCTCTCCTCCCTCCTTCCCTAGCCTTCCGCCCCCCTCCCTTCCGCCCCCTCCCTTTCTCCCCAATCTGTTTCCTCCTTTGTCTCCCCACGATCACTTTCCTCCCCAGATTGTCTTACCTGAGTTACCTCCTCCCAGTGCCCTCCTTTAATCCCTTCTCATCCCTGACTAGCACACTCCCTCCACTCCCTCCACACTCTTCCCACTCCCTCCACACTCTTCCCACTCCCTCCACTCTCTCCCCACTCTCTCCTCGTCTCTGGACCATCCCTCTCCAGAGTTTACACCCATCCCTCTCATCCCCACCACACCTTTGTCCACCCAACGACCCCCATCCCTTTTCCTACCCCATTACTCCTCCCACTTGACTCCTCCTCCCTTGGTGGCTTTCCCGAGCTCCACCTTCTCTCTAAACCCATTAACGCATTCCCCGCCCTCCTCTTACTCCTTCACCTCCTATTCCTCCCTCCCTCCCTCTTCCTCCCCCTTCGTCCTCCCCCACCACACACACTCGGCGGTAAGAGTGTGTTATGGGTGCGATAGTGTTGCCGTACCCGGGTTGTGCGTGTACCTGTTACATTATCCCACGGGCACCTATTGGCTCCTCAAGTCATTTTCTCGTCTCTCTGTCTTGTAGCTTTTCCTTGTTGTCCTCCACCTTGAAGTTCTTTAACTATTGTCCTCGCTTAGGTTATCGTTGAGGTGTTTGGTGGTGAGGAAGGGATAATTATTGTCGTCAGGTCAGAGGAGTAATGTGAGGAAATGGTCCCGAAAAAAATGTGGTGCTCCAGAGTTGGTAACAGTGAGGTCTTGCAAGATTGGTCGGGAATGTTGTTACTGTGGGCGACCCCAGTGTTGCCAGCTAGCTCCCTCCCTCCCTCCCAGCCCCAGGCACACCCCTAACCCTGCCAAGACCTCCCACCCTCCCCGCCCTACACACACACACACTACTACTACTACTACTACTACTACTACTACTACTACTACTACTACTACTTCATTGATACAAGGATTACAAGACTGACAATTACCAAAAATTTAATGACCATCTAGTAGCTAAGATTTATGCTTTCTTCGTTAACAATGTCTGCACCAAAACGGGGAGGAAACGTGGTCAACAAGCTACAGCAGTGTTATGATGGTCGGGGTTACAAACAACTTTGCTGCAGTCCAGGAACACGTGAATGAACTTAGTCAAATGTAAGGGAAAAATATGTCAACAACCTGAATTAGTATATCCACCTCGTAGCAAAGCCTTGTGAGACATAAACAAAGACCCGCTGCAAAACTCGAATGAACTTATATCAAAGTGGGCTCATGTCTCTAGCTATGACATGTTACCAACTAGGACTCGGGGACTCCTTGATGCGAAGTCTGTAGAGAGAAGTAATCTCATTAACTTTATGTTGGGCAAACAGCACGATGAGTGTGATGTTCCATATACTGAGTGGGAGCTTGACGCCGCCCTCGCCAGGGGTAGGTCTACTGCTCCTGGAGAGGACGGAGTCACCTACAATATCGTTAGACTACTAAGGCGTGTGCCGGGCGATCCATTATTGGCATTGTACAATATGAGTCATGCCGAGGGCCGACTACCCTCATCATGGACCAACAGTATCGTTGTACCAATACCGAAGACGGAACAGCCCGATGCTTTTCGACCTATATAGCTGGTGTAAAAAGACAGTAGTGGTGGTTGTCCAACACCAGTGTGTGCCCTGTAGTGTGAGTGGTGGAACTTTTCTCTGATGGTTAAGATAGTTCTGATCGGTAATATATACATTATAATAAGCTCTTACAGTTACCGCATATATTTGTTATGCTTATTAAACCTGCTCATTGAAGCCTTTAGTATATAGATAAATTTACAGGTTAACAAATGTCTACTATAGCGATATGTTAGCATTTACACTATAGCAAAAACCGGTAATTTAGCCATGAAAACAATCAACGTAAGATACACGGGTGTGAGAACTGACTCTAACCCCTTTGGTATTTTCTCTGATACAGGATTACAATTCCGAGTATCCAAGATCTTATAATATTATTTTTTATCTGAACTTCTCCTTGGGTGCGTCTCTCCCACAAGCCGCAGCCACAGTTTACGTAATCTGTTGTGGATGAAACCATCAATTTTAATCAGAGTTGGAAG